AGCTTATGATCAGCGAGTTTGCGCTTGGAATGACTTGCTGATTGTTGTATCGGACCAGGTTTCAGCTTCTCGATTGACGCACCAAGGAGTAAAGTTCGTACAAGACTTTCTCGAAACTGTAACGAAATGTCGATAGCAATCGATAGGGTTGATTGTATTGTTTCCTGAAGTGGAAGTTACTTCTTCGACGAGGCCATCGTCTTCCACAAATTCATCATCCGATTCTGGTTTGATTTCATTCCAGACGTTTGAATCGACCTCGTCATCTGTCACTTCTTCGTCAGAGCTTTCGGATTCGAGATGTATGCTATCGAAATCATCATCCAAAGAACTCACTTCACTTCGTGAGCTAATGCTTTCTTCTGAATCGGTTTCTTCGAACGACATGTGTACTATTCCCAAAATTCACTCGTCTTTATATAGTGAAGCGGCACACTGATAAGAATGATAGAGAAAAGCCTGGAATTTTTCTCTAGCTTCTCGCATGTGTTATATATAACATGAAAAAGAACGAAAAACTGACTCAAACAATTCTAGTTATTCGCAAAAAATGATTCATTATGTGGTAATGCAAGAAAGAGAACGATCAATAATCAGTAGAAGATAACGAAAGAGTCATTAAGTGCATTAGTTAGAAGTGAACTATTCATGAAAATGGCATCTTGAAGAAATTTTATAAGAAAACTGAATCGTGCCCAATGTGTTAATGGTTCTCTCTAGCTCTCTCTTCGCTCTTTGTTTTGAAACCCGCCGTCCGTTGATACTTAGTTCGTCCAATTCGAAGGCTCTGAATGGTGTAGCTGTTAACCAGTCGTTCTGCGGTTCTTATAGCAGGCCTCTTTTCTAAGTACATGAACGGAAAATAAAAAAAAAGCGATAGGATTTTTTGTTACGTTTGGAACGGCGATTCGAATGGCATATGAATGAAGCTTCTAAGCCTTAACAGAAAAAGTTAGATAGATTTGCAAAATTGCCAACAGAGTTATACTGTAGCAGGATTTTTTGTATGGACACGTAGCGATAGGGCTTTAGACAACATTTCTAGAATCAGTTTCTAGTGCTGAATCCTGAAATCACAACGGTGAGAGAAAAAAGTTGAATGGAAAAGAGTTAAGGGTTACTTTTCGTCAGAGGACGTTTTTGCTAATCATGACACCTATCGAGTATTTTGCGTTTTTCTCCGCCAAAACTTTGTCTAATCGAGCTAAAAGGGTTATATTCGTAATCAGCGTGCTCAGCTCTATCAAATGATGTATCTGTTAACTAAGAACAAAAATGTACTCGAACTTTGAATTACTGGAACCTTACTTCTCTGTTATAACTTGAGGCAACGTAGAACTTATCCTTGTGGACGTAGATCTGGACGAGATTTATTCTACTTAAGAAAAAAGCATCAAATAATGATCGAAATTAACATGAAATCTTATTCTTTTTCATTGTATTTTTCTGTAGAAGATTGATATAGTGTGAACATTATTCGTGTAGATGCAGAGTTTTTGTTATTCTACTCTTAACTTTAGCCATACTTAACAGAATAGTTTCACAGATAGATAAGTTAACAGATTTATGAATCAAATAATCTAAAGAGAAAAAACACTTTTATATTAGAAACGTTTACACCGTTATCGATGGTTATAACTCATCATTACTTTTATGCTCCTGTTTAATGTCCAACCATATAACATAAACGATACAATTATTAAGTAATTCAGTTTCAGCCGATCAAAACAGTTCAGTCTTTGAAAAATAATTCTTGTGTTGATAAAGTGTTTACCACTACTGTTCTGTCCAGACTAGAAGATCATCTAGTTTTCCGTTTTGTACGGCAAGTAGAATCTTAAATGGTGACTATCCAGCTCAAAGGAAGCTGGATCTTCGTCCCGAGCTGGAGAAACACTAGTAAATTCGTAGTATTAACGGAAGCATAGGTGACGTCAGTTTCTTGTTCACATAATAGCTGAGGAGAAGCAGCAACTAAATAGAGCCCAGAAGAAACGGGAGAAAAACGACTTTGTTACCAGTTATACCAATCGATAGCTTGTGATCTATACTATAAATTTGTCTCTTGAAATTGTCTAGATGCGTTTTTAGTTTCGCAGAGAATTGTAGCTCCACCGACAACTCTAAAAATTTAGAGTGTTTTTTTGTCATTGCGTTACGCTACGTAGAATAACTTCAGAGCCTTCAGATTTGTACAGAAAGCTTCATTTGTTTACCATAGATAGAATTTAACGAGCTGCATCGAATGGCGCAAGAATGACCTTTCTAGGTCTCCTACTTCACGAGAAAACTGGGAATTACTGTGTCAAAAATGTCACTGCGTTACGTTTGGATAAGCTTTACTGAAGCTTGCGTTATTTGTGGCATCCATCGCTGAAGAATGGTAATGTACGCGTTTTTTACTTCGACCATGGATATTAATATGCCCGTTTCTAACAAAGAGAGCAGCCAACCGCATAGTTCTTCAAATGGATCACTATATGATTGTGTTGCTTGAGTAACATCAAGTAAACGAGGATAATCAGTATTATGTAACGGTTTTCTTCCTGTCTGACGTTAAATTCTGCTGATGACACTCTTTCCAGAAATTCCACTAAAGATTCATCATTCTAGAATATCGTATTGTCAGCTACGATCTCAAGGCTATCTAATATGTAAAAAAATGCAAGCAGCATAAACTAAGCGTAATTTAGAATAGATTCAGAAAAATTATTTTGGCTTCAGTACCTGGCAAGCTCTTGTTTTTTCGCATGTCAGGTACACCGCCTCGAAATCCAATTCGTAAAAGCCTTCATATATCAAAAGATGCACTAAAGCCTCCTCTACAAAATGTTGAAAACTGTAGGTCTCTATCTCTTTTCATCCTGGAGTTATTCAAACAATAGCCACGGACACTATATTTTGAAATGGATAGTAGGCTATCATCATCCGATACTTTGGAGATCCCCATGGATTCATATGCAGTTTTGAGTGCTCTATCCGATGGCGGTTTTGGATTCCAGTAATCAACTTTTATTTTTCTCCAAAACGAAAGTGTTTCAAAAAAATTCAAAAACAGTCCGTTCCGGATATATTTTATATCCCGATCAGAATACGCGATTTTTGAACGAATTTTTATGCAGTACACAAACGATGCATATAGCCACGCACATGGAATCTGAATCAGTTTTGAGTCCTCTTTCGAATGGTATTGTCCGTTTTTTATTTGGTTGGTAAGCGGAGGCCAGAAAAATGATTGATCGATTATATATCCCGCTTCGAGTCTTGATTATATCCCGATCAGGATTTGTAGCCCAATCGGGATAATCGTATAGGCTGATCAGGATAAATATCCCGTTCGGGATATAAGTCATGACTCCGCACTGACAAGAGCAACGTTTCTATACTTCACTTATGAACATCTGCTGGATGTCGTCGATACAGTACAGCACAAAAGTAGCGATACCTCTGTAACTCAGGAACCATGATAGCTATCGACTTCTAATTTTGTTGGTAACGTTAATTTTTTCCAGTATTTTTTTGATAGACTTACACGTACGCACTGTACGTGTAACTATTTTGATCAATTCAGTTTTGTTAGACATGACAGACTAAGAAAATATGGTGAATACATGAAGCGGCAGTACGTGGCAAATACTAAATTTCTAACACATAAATGAACTAAAATTCCTTGAAGCAGAAGGATTATAAGCGAAGAATCTGCACCTGCTATAGTTTGACGCAGTAAATTAGATTCAACACATTGTTTCATGTCTTTTCTTCAAACAACTAGTAGAATAATGTTAGAAAATAGACAAATACGCAGAGAGAGTAGGCTGTTAGACAACAATAATTTCCTAAAACTACTTGTCAACGACATGAGAAGGCAAAAATTGTCACATAGTACTCAAAACATCAGAGTTCATAATAACAACGTCCGACTAGGGGTGGCACTTTCTCTTTCTTTCCCAAAAAAAGAAAAGTAAAAATTGACTTTTCTTTCTTTTGGGAAAGGAACGTTTTATACTTTCCCGCTTTTCTTTCACAAAAAAAAGAAAGAAAAGTATGATATAACTTTCTTTTGTGTTTTTCTCAATGAAGAAAACACTTTATTGCAAGACCAAACCCATTTTCGCGATCAGCGTCGAAAACCGAATCTAGTGATGCGTTTTGCAAAAACTTGCCAAAAAACTCTTTTTTTCCGCAAAATACATCACTTGATCAGTTTTCGAATATGGGTTTGGTTTTGCCAGAAAGTGTTTTCTTCATTGAGAAAAACACAAAAGAAAGTTATATCATACTTTTCTTTCTTTTTTGGGGGGAAAGGAAAGCAGAAAAGAAAGAGAAAGTGCCATCCCTACGTCCGATAACATATTCATAAAAATGTTTTTACTATCTCGAACCAGAATGTACCATAATATTTTACACCCATCCTATTACACTGGTTCAGTACTGTATAGTTTTCAGGCACTTTCTGTAACCGATTAACTTAATGGACCAAAAACGGCCGCTAATCATGGCATTGCGTGCCGTAACTAAAATGATGAATTTTTTATTCACAGATGATTCGAAAAAAATTTTCAACAAATGCCATAAAATCAATTGATTGTGCGTGGGTATCCATGACTATTGGCTCAAATACTTGCTAAAGTACAATCTTGATTAACTTTATTCTGTGGTGTTTTATCTGCAAATGCCATTGGTATGACCTAAGTACACTATTAAACTCGCTTCGCTTGTCTCGAAGTCAGCTGCAAACTATCTATCATTATGTTAGGAGACTTGTGAACGCAGCAAACCATGTGCTTACCCACAGAGAGCTCTGCATTAATTTTGTTTTCCTCTCTCAAAAATGACAGCACACTAAGACATTCCACGTGGAAAAGTGGATCGCATTAGACTCATCGGTGCATGGGAGCACATCACACTAACTACATATGAAACAAAAAAACGATCTTCGATGGTTAATAATAAACCGATTCTCCTTTTAACTAGAAAATTCACTAGCTTTTGTTTTATCCAGTCTAATAAATATCAGTAGCATATACATCCATTTCTGCCAGTCCCAAATCTAACATCAGAGGAGCCCCAAGGCTTCACGAAAAACGAGTATAGCTTCCAAACCATGAATTTTCGAGGTGTCGTTCGATCTGGTTTTGTAGAGGACACCCTCGGCTATTCACATACGAACAAAAACTAATAGATTAGTATGTAAAAGTTTGGAGCTAGAATCTGGTTTTCCAAAGATTCTCTGAAAAATCGGATCCACAAGTATTTCCGAAAGACACTTTTGCTTACTTGAATAGTAATTCGCTCTTTTTGTCGCTCTTCCGAAGGATATTTAACTAGAAATTTTAAAGTACACGGATACAAAATTTATTAAAATAAAAAAAAACTCGCAGCAGTACATTTACAGTAATGAACAGGACTTTTCACCGGTACATGATGACGATTGGACTGTATTTACTTTCCGTGCGTTTTTTAGATTGGACTTAAACGTTTCTTGTGAATCATCGATTGTTAGCCGTTTATCTAAATGTTGAATTAGTGTTTTGGCAAAATTAAGAAATGTTTTTTGTACATTATAGTTTGTTTTTGAACTTGTCTCAATATATTGAATGCCTTTTGTGTCAGCACATTCTTTTGCCTGTTCATAAGAATTTTGCTCGCTCTGTCTTTAAATCCGATTTTGTTCCAATCAAACAAACCGGGATATTTTGAGGACAATATCGTTGTATTTCATCTGTCCATTCTGCAATATTCCGAAAACTGTCACTATCAGTTATATCAAAGCACAATAATACACCATGAGCTCCACGATAAAAATTTCTAACAACACATTTGAAACGATCCTGACCAGCTGTATCCCATATCTGAAGTTTAACATGTTTTGAATCAATATCAATTGTTCGAATTTGAAAATCCACTCCTATAGTCGATGCATAATCTGTTGAAAAAGAATTATTTGCAAAACGTTGGAAAATAGATGTTTTTCCTGGAAACGAAAGCATAAAAATAGATCAGTGATGCAAGAGTAAGTTAGTTGTACTGACCTACTCCACTATCTCCGATAATCGAAATTTTGAACAAATAATCGTATTCTCTGTCTAAGTCGAAGTGTGACATCACTTTCGTAATCGTATAGAATTATTTCAAATGAATGTTTTTATCACACACCCATATATATATATATATATATGAATAATGTCGGCGTGGCAATATTGATGCAACATTATTGAATGAATCATAAGGTTAGTCATTGCATTTATCTTTTTTGGTTTATCTTCTTCTTCTCACACATGAAATTTAGCCAGCTGGAATATGTTTATTTCGAAATGCTTGTCATTGCCTTAAATAGTTAATAGATATTAGTAGAAATTATCTGGAGTCCCACTTTCTTCAAAGACATAGCAAATCGAGCTTTTTTCCAGCGGGATGGTGTGGGAAGAAACGGTATAGATACTCTGATTCGTTATCTCGCGTAGAGTCCGATCAGCAATCGTACTTTTAAACTGGAGAGGGTATTTAAGGAGACAATTTGCAAGGCATATGAACGCACTGTAAAATTTCTAATTATGTTGAATGATGACGTCTACAGCAACCACACCTTTTCTCGTATTAAAAGTAAAAAAGATCAAGATGCTGTACTTTTTATAAAGGTTATTTATATCAGTTAAAGCGTTTAAATAAGAACGATACTGAAAAAATCGTTTGTAACTCGTCATTTGTGTTCTTGTTCAATAACAATAAAAGATAATGCAATAATCGGAAGTTATTGTATTGATGATAATGGTGTACCAACAACTCCAATACCTCCAATTTATGATCAATATGTGAAAAAATTTGTAACAGAAACTCCCCGCGTATGTACGTCCGTCACACTCACTAGTCACTATATGTATGTACGTCCGTCACACTGTCCCATGACTTTAGCGCTTGTGTTATAATTTGATGAACACTGTTTTGTTTGAATCAGAATGAACATATATAAGTTATATATATATATATATATATATCTTTTATAGAAAGGAATGTCCTGCTTATAATAGTCCGCAAAATGCTTGTACTTTCGTGCTTTTCCAGGAAATCCGCCGTAATCATAGTACCTGATAGAGAAGAATATTATATTACTGACAATAAAAATCGTTTTCTGTCTCTTAAGCTAGGTTTTAAAAAATGTTATCTGACTTGCTGGTGGTTTCTTTATTGAAGTGTGAACCATATTTTGCTTTATCTCTTTTTAGTTTGCGGCAAATGCAAATTCTGCACCACACCGAAGATGAAAGCTTATTTTGAATTCATAGAGTGTGAAAAAAATAAGATTGAAACTTTTCACCTGATCGTTTTATAATAACCTAAGAAAAAATGATTGTTTTATATATTAGAAAACGAAGATTTTATTAACAGTTTCTGTCAAAACAGTTTATATTAGTAATTACTGGCCATCGTACGATAACAAACTTAAGCGAATGAATACTGTTTTTTCATATAGAATTTCTTTGTTCAAACAATTATGATTTTTTTGGTTTTAAGTGCTCACCGTTGTAATGTAAAACAATTGATGTAGATTCCAAATATTGCAAAATAAATCCGGCGAGAAGAAATCACCTTAAAAAACAATATTGCCTCTCAATTATTTACTCATAGAACGCTGTAATCGTATAACTAATTGAAGTGGCGTTTCTGGTCGTATCATGTCCGTATCGGATTGTTATTAGTATTGTCTTCCTTAAGATTGATATTTTTACCTATAATCGACTTTTGTAAAATTGTGATTCTCATAGGAGAGAAGTAAAAAGATGACTACCACAAGCCCGACGTTGCTTAACTTCAGTGATTGGACGAGAACTGGTGCATTCAACGTGGTATGGCCGTAAGCGAC